TTTCTGACAGTTCTCTGACAGCTCCTTCACATGTACAGCGGTTTGAAACATCTGTTTCCCCGAATAAAACCATCTGTATCCTAAATGGAAACAAATAGATACAATGTTTCAACCGCTGTACATGTGAAGGAAACTGTCAGAGAACTGTCAGAAATAGCGGAGCTCTCTGCAGGGACACTTTTGCCGGCTGATCGGGAAAAATCCGATTCGCGCACCCGAAGTAGGCAAATATTCGGATTCGACGCGAATCGAATTTTTCCTGAAATTCGTATCGAATTCCACTTCGCCTGGTTCGATTCGCTCATCTCTAAAGAAGAACTTCCATACTCACCATTATTCTATGGGTCATTTGCTTGTCTTTCTGCATTCAGGTCTCAACCTTTCACTCCTTCATGAAGGTTTTTGTTCAAGGAATGCTCACATTGTCTTGCTTTGTTAGATGCCAGTAACACCATGGGACCTTCCTGTGGTAATCTTGATCTTCCAAAAGCTGCCCTTTGAACCAATCCAGGAAATTCCTTTGGTGGATCTTAACCATAGGGTGACTTTTCTAGTGGCTATTACCTCTTCCAGATGGGTTTCTGAGCTGGCTGCACTATCCTGTAGGGAATCATTTTTGGTATTGCATAAGGACAAGTTGCTTTGTGTCCAAATGCTTCCTTTTTAACAAAGCGGTGTCTGGCTTTCACTTAAATGAGGATATTGTTTTGCCCTCCATTTGCCCTTCTCCTAAGAGCCCAAAAGAGGCAGCCCTACACTACAGGGAGAGAGGCGATTGCAGCGGAAGTGGGAGCGTGTCAAATTCGGGTACCCCTCCATTCCCCAAAGTTCTGCTGTCTCTGGTCATCTCCTGTAGTATGTCCACAGTCTCTGGTCATCTCCTGTAGTATGTCCACAGTCTCTGGTCATCTCTTGTGCTATGCCCGCAGTCTCCGCAGTCTCTGGTCATCTCCTGTACTATGCCCGCAGTCTCTGGTCATCTTCTGTACTATGTCTGCAGTCTCTGGTCATCTCCTGTACTATGTCTGCAGTCTCTGGTCATCTCCTGTACTATGTCCGCAGTCTCTGGTCATCTCCTGAGGTATGTCCACAGTCTCTGGACATTTCCTGTACTATGTCCGCAGTCTCTGGTCATTTCCTGTACTATGTCCGCAGTCTCTGGTCATCTCCTGTACTATGTCCGCAGTCTCATATCATCTCCTGTACTATGTCTGCAGTCTCTGGTTATCTCCTGTAGTATGTCCACAGTCTCTGGTCATCTCCTGTAGTATGTCCGCAGTCTCTGGTCATCTCCTGTAGTACGTCCGCATGTCTGCAGTCTCTGGTTATCTTCTGTAATATGTCTGCAGTCTCTGGTCATCTCCTGTAGTACATCCACAGTATCTGGTCATTTCCTGTACTATGTCTGCAGTCCATTGGTTCAGAATATTTTTTTTTCTTGTTTTACTCCTCTAAAACCTAGATGCATCTTATGGTCAGGTGCGTCTTGTGGAGTGAAAAATACAGTAAATCCTGTAAAAAATAAATTTTTCCAAAAAATTTGAGTTTGAAAAACTGCTACAGAAATACAATGTGACATAAAAAACTGCAAACACCCACTTTTGATTCTCTATGGCCTCTGCTTCAAAAATATATCATGTTTGGGGATTCTAAGTAATTTTCTAGCAAAAAATTGCAGATTTTTACATGTATGACAGAAATGTCAGCATTGGCCTGGGCAGCTAGTGGTTAAATTTTTACCAGTCAATAAACCCCCTCTAACTTTTTTTTATGGCCCCTGACACTACATAAACACACTTTGGGTGCACCTACATGAAAAAAGGAGGAATGTTCTACACATGTTAGGTAATGCCGCACATGCCAGAGTTAGAGCTGTAATTCTAAGACCTTTATTTACAGTTTAACTCTAAACTGATGACCACTTGGTACAGCTTCTAGCTGCAGTACATTTCAGCTTGTCAGACTTTGACAGTATACAGGCAGCAGGCCTAAACATTGCAACTGTGCCTCCACAGCAAAAATGCTGGGATTGGACACACTAAGGTTCAATGCCCAATGTGCATTGTGTCTTAACCCGTTTACTGCCTTCGCCGTATCCCTTACAGAGGTGGCAGCAGGGGGTGTTTTACTGGCACCTTTTAGTGACTACAGCCATGGGGAGCATGTGTACACTCCACAAGTTGACTTTCTCATGAAAGGGAACCAGTGGCTGTACAGCCGCCCGATCACTTGCTGCGACTCCTGGAGGGCACTTTTTGTATCCTATGTGATATAAAGTTTTAGTGAAAGTTAAAAAAAAAAAGTTACACCCAAGCACTTAACTTACTCCAAAAAATTTATTAATCTCCCCCCCCCCCCACGTGTGCACACACAAATGTAAACACATTCATCGGGGGTGCCTATGTATGAAAATGTTGCTTGCAATCTATTCAGCCCTGTAGGGGCTTTTAAAGCATCACCTATGGAAAATATAGGTTATTGAAATTCCTTGAAGTCATTTGGTGGGCACACTCATATTTAACAGATTAGGTATCTGTTCAGCACAACCTTGTTTTACCAAAAATTGGGTAATATATTGCAATTGTGTGCCCTAAAATTAACTTTAGTGTATTTATTACTGAAATCTTGCGCTTGATAAACTGTGCAACTATCATGAGACATAAAATAATGGAACTACCACTATTTTATTCTCTAGGTGTAAGGGTTAATTTCAGTCAGGATGCTCTCACTCTCCCGTCCAACCTGAGGTGCTTACCACGGGTACCCAAGAATAAGATCAGAACACACCAAGGTTTTGTTTTTGAAGGGAAAATTTCAGGAAACAGACTATACATTAGCAAATATTTACTGCCCGAATAAGAAACCAGAGATATTCTTAAAAAATATTCCGAGGAAATTACTGGATTTTAAAAAAAGGTAGTTTAATTGTGGCAGGAGATTTTAATTTGTGTATGGAGCCTCGGATGGATACGACGTCTCCTATGCTGAGAGGGTATTAAGTTTTTGAAACCATTGAAAAATTTTTTATATCAGTGTCAACTTGTACAGTTGCAAGAAAAAGTATGTGAACCCCTTGGGATTACGTGGAGTTTTGCATGAATTGGGCATAAAATGTGCTCTGAACGGCATCTAAGTCACAACAATAGAAGAACACAGTCTGCTGAACATAATACTACACAAATATTAGATGTTGCCATGGTTTAATTGCACATAACATGTAAACATTCACAGTGCAGGGAGGAAAAAGTATGTGAAGCCCTAGCTTAATGACTTCTCCCAGAGATAATTGGAGCCAGGAGTGAGCCAACTTTGACTCCAATCAGTGTGATGATATTGGATGTGTTGCTGACAGCTGTCCTGCCCTTAAAAAACACACACCTGTTTTGGGTTTACTGGTTTCAAGAAGCACTGTCTGATGTGAACCATGCCTCGCAGAAAAGAGCTATCAGAAGACCTACGATCAAGAATTGTTGACTTGCATGAAGCTGGAAAGGGTTACAAAAGTATCTCCAAAAGCCTTGATGTTCATGTGTCCACGGTAAGACAGACTGTCTACAAATGGAGAAAGTTTAGCACTGTTGCTACTACTCTTCCTAGGCGTGGTCGTCCTGTAAAAATGACTGCAAGAGCACAGCGCAGAATGCTGCATGAGGTAAAGAAGAATCCCAGAGTGTCAGCTAAAGACCTACAGAAATCTCTGGCACATACTAACATTTTTGTTGACACATCTACAATAAGGAAAACATTAAACAAGAATGGAGTACATGGGAGGACACCACGGAGGAAGCCATTGCTGTCCAAAAAGAATATTGCAGTACGTTTGAAGTATGCAAAAGAGCACCTGGATGTTCCACAGCACTACTGGCAAAATATACTGTGGACAGATGAAACCAAGATTGAGTTGTTTGGGAAGAACACACAACCACTATGTGTGGAGAAAAAAAAGGCACACACACACCAACATCAAAACCTCATCCCCACTGTAAAACATGGCGGAGGGAGCATCATGGTTTGGGGCTGCTTTGCTGCCTCAGGGCCTGGATGGATTGTTGTCATTGATGGGAAAATGAATTCCAGAGTTTATCAAGACATTTTGCAGGAAAACGTACGACCATCTGTCCGCCAACTGAAGCTCTGCAGAGGATGGGTGAGGCAACAGGACAATGACCCAAAGCATACAAGTAATTCAACAAACCAATGGCTGCAACAGCACAGAATACGCCTTCTGGAGTGGCCCAGTCAGAGTCCTGACCTCATCCCGATTGAAATGCTGTGGCATGACCTTAAGAGAGCGATTCACACCAGACATCCCAAGAATATTGCTACACTGAAACAGTTTTGTGAAGAGGAGTGGTCCAAAATTACTCCAGATCGTTGTGCAGGTCTGATCTGCAACTACAGGAAACGTTTGGTTGAGGTTATTGCTGCCAAAGGAGGGTCAACCAGTTATTAAGTCCAAAGGTTCACATACTTTTTCCTCCCTGCACTGTGAATGTTTACATGTTATGTGCAATTAAACCATGGCAACATCTAATGTTTGTGTAGTATTATGTTCAGCAGACTATGTTCTTCTATTGTTGTGACTTAGATGACGTTCAGAGCACATTTTATGCCCAATTCATGCAAAACTCCACGTAATCCCAAGGGGTTCACATACTTTTTCTTGCAACTGTAGATGGGGGGACAGACCAGGAAAATACTTAATGAGAGCGCAGAGGAAAAAAACATCTAGGAACTATACAGAGAAAATAAGAGATAACGATGGAGAATTAGTGTACCCAACTAAAGATATAGTAAAAAGTGTTTAAGGAATATTATAACAAGCTATATAATATTACTCCCCATGGTATTATAAAGGAAGATGAATTAGGAAAAATAGAAAAAAGACAGGTATATTTAAGAAGGGCGGGATTACCGAAATTAAGTGAAGAACAATTAAAATCTCTTGAAATAGAAGTAACGCAGGAAGAAATCCATCTAGCATTTAAAACGTATGACAGCTGGGAAAATCCCAGGACCTGATGGGTATACAGTGAGATACTATAAAAAATATAAAGATTTATTAGTACCCAAATTGAAGATATATATGAATGCCCTGGAGGAGAGATGGAAATGTGGAGGGAATCCTTGCAGGCTCATGTGTTTTTATACATAAGGAAGGAAAGGATGTCACTCAGTGCTCTAGTAATAGACCGATTTCCTTACTGAATGTGGACACTAAACTATACACAAAAGTTCTGGCTAATCGGTTGAAAGACCTAATGCCAGATTGGATTCATATAGATCAGGGTTGGCTTTGTCCCATTGTCTCATGGCTTAAGATCTTTGTTTCTTATACAAAAAAGTAGGAAAGAGAAAACTCCTGCGATGGTACTATATCGATGCGTCCTTGATGATGCTGAGAAAGCAATTTGACAGAGTAGATTGGGGATATATGCTAGATACATTGGAAGTACTGGGGATGGGACCCTAGAATGAGAGAATGGATAAGGAAATTATATAGTCAGAGCCCTCGGCAGCAATCAAGGTTGATGGGGAATTATCAGAGTTTTTTGGGATGCAAAATGGGACAAGAAAGGGATGCCCCTTTGTCGCCATTGTTATATGTCCTGTCCCCTGGAATCTCTCTTAGCAACAATAAGGAACAATATTGATATAAAAGTAATCTAGATAGGAGAAACAGAGCAAAAAGGTGGCAGCTTATGCGGATGATATGCTGTTTTATGTTGTAAATCCAAGGATAACTTTGCCAAATTTAATTAAATCATTGAGGGAATATGGTGAGGTGTCAAACTTAAAAATGAATCCAACAAAAACAGAGATCCTAAATATAAATCTTCCTAAGAAAGAGAAAAAAATTTTACAGGGAGAATTCCCCTTTGTTTGGAGAGAAAGAGAATTAAAATATCTGGGAATAAAATTATAACCGTTATCTTCAAAGAATCTCTATAGATCAAATTATATCCCATTAATAAATGAGATCAAGGATGAGCTATGGAAATTAGGCTGGGGAACTCTGTCATGGATAGGTTGTATAAATCTGATAAAAATGATAATTGTCCCAAAAAAAATATAATATAAATTTTCAAATGGTACCAATTAAATTGCCAGAAGTATATTTTAGAATAATTAAAAAGATGTTTACTAGATATAATTTCAAGGAACAAAAAAACCTAGAATAAGCTATGAAAATTTAAGCAGAGACAAAGAGAACGGTGGATTGGGTGTGCCAGACTTGAAAAGATATTATAATTCAGTAATGTTGGCGAGAGAATTTTTGATTGGACACATAATGCACTGGGGAAGTTGGTGTTGTGAAAATAGAAAATACACTAAGTTACAACAAATTTGAGTAAAAATTGTATGGCTACCCGGCAATACCGAGGATTGGCAGATAACACAAGTTTGTTTACACGTAATGTTTTAAAAATTTTGGGTTGTATTATACAAACAAA